AGATGGAAAAAAAGAAAAATCCCTCATTTTATGGGGAGTGGGCCGAGAACGTTAAATACCATGAACTAATGCTGATTAAAATTTAGATTACTCAAGATTCAGACTTTTTAACTTCCAAAAATGGATCTAAGTTTCTCTGGTTGACTTTGATGTTGAATTGAATAACTTCCTTGGGAATAGGCTAGGCTGATCAACAGTTAGGTGCCCTGTGATGGAAACAAGATTAATATTATGGCAAACAATGGATTTTGGCTGCCAACGGAGAAGAAGGGCAGTGCATCTTTCACTGCAGACCCTCTCTATGCTGGCAAGCTCTGCAAGCAGGCAGGAATTCCTGAAGTAAGAAAGCATGATTCTGCAGAGAAGGCTCCATTAGATCCTTCATGAATACCCTTTCCCACTCCCTTTCTCACCTTCTCATTTTCAGGCTTTATTTCCTTAACCTTTGATTTCACTCTCACTTTTTGTGCATTTTTCTTAACTTGTTTCTTTTTCTTTCTTTTTTTCTTTATTTTTTCTTTATTTTTTTTTTTTTCCCATCTACTGAAGCAGGGGTTCAGTTCCTTAATAAAAGGACTCTTATTAACTTTATTAAGAGAGCCACTCCCGAGATCCACTAATTTTGAACAATGATTTACTGAGAAAGTCAGCTTCTGTTTCCAGCAGGTTCCAATTCAAGTGAGAAGCCTGGAGGAAACAGGCACATTGCAGCATCTGATTAAAGCCTTTCATTACTTAGATTCATGCATGGTCAGCTGGTGAAAAATCTTTAATAGAAAGTAAGCTGAAACAAAACTAAGAAGTTTATTTACTAACAACTCAAGCACAAAAACAAACATTCAAATTCTGTAACAGGAATTCTAACAATCCTATGGATAAGTTGAAAACTCTCCTAACATGTATTTTTCTCCCCAGCAGTAAATGGGTGTCCACGTTCTATACAAAAATCTTCATGTTTCAATAATTAGTGCAAGATAATTATTTGGAGATCAGCAGATACCTTCCATACCTTTCCACCACAATTAACAATAAGCAAGTACAAAAACATTCAAAGCTTGATTTATGAAAGTCCAACAGTGTTCTAATAAACATCCAGGATGTGGTCAAACCATTCCCTATCCACCAGCTGAGGTAGAACTCCTGCATTTTGAGTTACCACTTCTTCTCTTCTTCATTCAAGAAGGAAACTTGCTAATCAGTGTCTTGATTCATAAGTTTGATACTTCATATAATCTGAATATATCAATATTCTCCTTCTGCCTCCTAAGCTCTCAGATTCTCAGATTTCTTGCCCTTTTAACAACCCACTCAAAGATTTAATCTCCCAGGTGCTTCCTGTTTGCAGATTGTGGAGCAATAAACAGCAACATCAGCAAGTACGCAAGTTAGCATACTAGCAAGTTATGTCGTGCTAGTCAGGAATCTAGACAACAGGTCTGAGAGCAAAAAAAAGGATGTTATTTATGTACATTGTTCTGAAAACTTTGTACAGAGTTATGATTATATTTGGCAGTGGTGGAAAATATCTGAACCTAGAGCTAATTCACAAAAAAATATTCAGTAACTGTTCTGACTACTGTTAAGCCGCCCTTGGGCCATTTAGCTTCAGAATGAGTTATGCAGGAAACATAGGAGAGTCATATTAAGTGTTTTCTGAGCAGTTTTAAATAGGTCCATACCCATATCCCTATGCTTACAAAGTAAGTCTCTTATCAAAGTAAGCGTATGCTTACTTTCCCATATAATTAGTTTAGTAAAACACAATTTCAAGATCATACTTCGGTGCCTGCTTTGCAGCTGAAAGATACTTAATATCTAATGCTATTGGAAAGCTGACTGAAATGGTCAGGAACATAGAAACTTTTTGAAGTTGATGCTGGGCACCTGGTTTCTCATAACCTGTGAAAAGCTTAATGCAAGCACCTCCAAATTAACATATTTTCCTCCGTTTGATTTCTATGGTCCTCACTGTGTTTCCTAATGAGACAATCTTGCAAGTCTTGAAAACTCTGAGGGTCTCCAAAGATTTTTTTTTTTTTTGCTATGTTTCATTTTAGAGGCGAGTCAAGTGTTGGTGTGCAGGAACAGGCGGCTCCCTCCAACTTCTTTTCCAGACTGCTTAAGAGCCCTTAGTTCTTATTTTTCTTGTTATTTACTTTCCAAGGTCAGACCACCCACCTTTGTCCTCAATGCTGACTTCTGTTTGAAGAGGTTCACCAACCTAAGTGAATAATGTTGAAATCTGTATGGTGCAAAATGGAACCCCACTGTAATTTCCTACACAATCTATTTTCTTTTTCAAAGCATACCATCCACCAAGACTGTTTAGATTTGTACAGATATAAGGGCCTAAAGCATACCCTTTCCTACAAATCTTTGTTTGGAAAGGTATATACTTTTTTCCTTTTCCTCCCAAGATACCGGAGAGAAATATATGCAAATATGTGAAAAGAAAATAGGGCTGTCTTCCTGAATCTGCCTGCAAGCTGTTGTGACAATGATATGCTGTTATTACTCAGCATATTCCTCCTGGAACGGATTGAATTTCTAAACTGATTAAAGTCTCTGCTATGAAAAGGGCACAGACCCCAGCTTAGAATCCAGCCAGGAATCTTCAGAAATTGTCCCTACAGCAGCTTCATGCAAAAAACAGCAGACTCATGTAGCATAGTTATTTCTAATGGAAAATGTCTCAAAAACATAGAAATTGACATAACAGTCAAAGGGGTTGGGAGGAGCCTCTCCAGAAGTTCCTGGCAAAGCATAGAAAAGCAAATTTCTCTGCTCCTTCAAAGTGAACGTGGGAGGTGGGGGTGAGAGTCTGAAGCAGACGGTCCACAGGAAGAATTTAGCACAATATAATATATATTCATTCTTTTGGGAGTTTTTCTGAGTGTGACTTTGCACTGCAACAAGATGAACTACTATTGTGGTACAGTTCAAATTTACACAAATCAGTACAGGTGTCAGTAAAGAAATCATAATTCAATACTTGCCTAGGCTAAAAGGTTGCCAATAGAGCTTGCCCAGATAGGAAATTAATGCTAGGTGAGCTAGGACACAAATTTATATCATACATTTTGTGAAGCTGAAAGGTGAAAGCAGCTTACCTTAAGTGGAAAAGACCTTATGCCCTACTAAAGGTAGAGAAGACTACACTGCACTTGCTCTTCTCAGTAAGTACCTAGATGATTTGGTAGTAAAGAATAGCTCATATACTGGGAATCCCTAACTAACTTCAGTTATATTCTGTATAACAGATATCCTGTCTAAACAGAAAATGGAAAAATGAGTAGTAACTTCAGAGTATTCAACCCGATCATACAAAAAAAGCATAAAGTTTAGATTTGTTCAGACTTTATCAGTCCACTTAAACTACTTACTTGCTACATGTCATTTCATTTTTCACTAACAAATCCTGGAGCATAAATTTCAAAGGTCTCCAAGATCTCTCTCCCTCAATTTGTTTGCTGCCGTAGTTTGGCATTATTTAGCACCAATGTGTGCTGGCCCTGTAGCTCTTTTCTTCACCTTTAACATAAATTATCAAAGAAGGTAACAAAATACAAGTTGATCAGTCTCTCTAGTTTAATTTAACAAGGCAGGTCATAAAGGCTTTGTTCCTTGACCAGCCATGCCAAAGTGCTGCTTTCACATATTAATGTGACACAACTTGTACAGTCATAATTACTTTGACAAGATAAAGGGAATTAGTTAAAACTTAATTAAAACTACACGCCTTACAACTTTGACACTGTACATATTTAGTAACTTTACTTCTTTATTCCTGGTTTATCAAAAGGGGAAGGGTCCACATGAATCTTCCTGGTATTACAAGTGCATCAATTAAGAAAGAAAATTAAACACTGATCATAAATAACCAGATAAGAAACAAAACTGAAAGGAGACAAGTACTCCGATTCATGGCCAGTAATGAGTTTTCCCACTGATACCCACATACTAAAGAAGCAATAAAGCAACTCCTCTTCCAAGGGAAGAAATGATCAGTGCAGTGCCTGTGTCGCATTACTGGGAGACCTTTCAAAATAGGCATTACTAAATAGCACCATGAAAAATAGAAAAAGGGCTTGTATTTTCATGTTACAAATAAGGGGAACCAAAAGGAAACAACAGCACTGTATGGTTTATCATTACACTTTAAAGCTTAGTGGAAAACAGCTTAGTGGAAAACACAGAGTGATACAATTTGTACATTTAATCCTATGCTGTATACTGTAACAAGCCAACAACATCTAGTTGCGACTTGCTTTAGCAATCACTCAACTTTTCTATAAAGAATTCAGCTATGCAGATGTTGTTTGTTCCCAGCTTCTTTTTCCTGCTAGGCACTTCCCCGAGGGCAGGGCCATTTTCTTGTGCTGCAAGCACTCACCAGTATCAGAACAAAACATTACCCTTTCAGGTTTTGGCTGCAGAATAATCTCTTCTGCTATTGTAGAAGTCACATGCTATTTCTAGCGCAGATATTTTCAATATGGCTCCACGTTCTCAGGTTCCCACCAATTGGGCATTATTAATTATCTCAGCAACTTTATGGGATCCTCATTTCAAAATCTTAATAAAGATGTATGTCTCGAAGCATTTATTTACCCTTGTTCACTAAAAGGAAATAATGACAACTAATGGAAAAGAGGAGAAAGCAAAAGCAGAAAGACTTACTGCCTCAGTGGCATAATGGAATGTTTCTTGATTGAAGTTGTGGCTTATCTTTCACCTTGGCACCAGTGGTACCCCATGAGCTCTGTCTCTAAAGAGGCTTTGCAGCTGTTTAAAATCTGTCTCTAGTATGTTTCTAATGAGCAGTGAAACAGTTACCAGCATTGACATTTACAGTATAACTAGGTATCAGCATTAATACTGCTGACATGAATGGGCCCATCACATGTATCAGAGCTATTGTTTCAGGTCCCCGCACCCAGTGCCTGTTCTCAAGCCAAACAACCAGAGCTTCATTTCAATACTAGGGCAGAAAACAGACCGGCATGGAGAAGAGGGTGACTGCTCCAAAGAAGCCTCTCTGTTCTGACGTAGATCAGATCAGCGCAATCAGACCTTCACTGCTGTATCCTGAGGCTGGAAGGTGTGTATCCTGGAACAGTGCCAAAACATCTAAAAATCCTGGAATTTAATGGCATTCAAAGGCAAAATTTATACACTTTTCTGGTTTTCTTTGCAAGGGTGTGCTGCGGAAACAGACAGTTCGCCCAACTCTCAGACTTACCCCGCAGCCTGACTCGAGCTCTGACTGCTTTGTAGTGACTGCAGCTTCATACAAGCAGCCACGAGCAAGATTAAAACTACCTCGTTCAAGTGCCACTGATTATGTAGATTCAGCAGCAGAACGTGGCATCACTGTCCTCCTCATTTAGCTAGTACTTCAAGGCTGAGCCTTAGTGTGAGCTGCCATGACCATCCAGGTACAGCACCCATACATTTCTACAGAAAGCTAATGCAGATGAGTAGCCCTTCGAAGCAGAGACATAATAATAGTGATCTGTTTCTTCTTCTCACATGACACAAAGTAGCTTCACAAGAATCAGAAAAGCGTGCAGCTTTTTTTTTTTTTTTTTTTTTTTTTTTTAAATTATCTTTCTACCCAATATTTTGACATTTATTCCAAGATTTTTTGGTCTCCAAGTACACTGTATAAACATTTATTTAAGAGTGTTCCACCTTTTCTGGCTGCAGAAACAGGAGGAATTACGTGAAATAGAGCCCAGAGATTTTAAGACAGAATTAGCATCTCACAACTCATAAGACTAAAAATAATTAAAGTGAGAAGTAATCCAATCAATAAAGCATAATCCCTTCTCTCACAACCTGGGTGAGCCACAATGCAGCCATTCCAACTAGGTCACGTCTACACATCAGTAAGACTGTATCTATCTAGATACTGCATTCCTGTGATTAAAAAAGTTACGTGTCTGCATACTTTCCAAAGTATATGTTCTATATGAGTGTAATGCCATCATAGATGTTGAAATATTGACAAGCTAAAGCTTTATACTAATTTAGAAAAGCTTTGTCCTTACAGTAGTTAAGCAAGTAGAAGCAATAAAAACAGTTTTCAGATATAGCAGACTGGCTCTCAGGAAAAGGAAACTGCTCAGTGGTACAAGATATTACTGTCTGCACTTGTTTACGTTACCCACCTGCCAGAGGTAACTGTCTGGACAGCAGAGACAACAAAAACAAGCAGCTCCAATCTGCAGCTGACTCTATTAACACAGGTCTGTCTTCACTAGCAGTTTAAGTAAATACACCAGAATGTAAACTGGAACACCCATAGCAAAAATGCATGTTACTTTCTGCTGCCTTTGCTCACCTATAGCAATTGGATAGCACAAAACATTAAAGGTAGAAATACCTTGTCTCATTTCAGAAAAGTCCAGGCATGTGAGCCTGAGTAGAATCAGATAGCTGAACTCAACATACCTGGCTCAGAGCCGTGCCAGCACATGTCCATCATGTATCATGCACTCAACAAATTTAGAACATTTCTTAGCTAGTTACAACTCAATTAGCACTGGAATTGTTATCCTGCAAGTTGCACATAAACAGATTTTTTTTTTTTTAAATGAAGCACGGTCTACATTGAGCTCTCCAGGTAGGCATCCCTAGTGACTAACAAAATCATCAACAACTCAATTCAAATGAGAATATTTATATAGACTAAAATACACACTTTTAGGCAATCCTATGGCAACCACTGGGATCTGCACATTTATAAAATAGTGAAAATCTTTTGGCACCATATCATCTGCAAATCTGAAAGATGTGAAAATGTCTTTCATTCCCCAGCAGTAATGCATCAACTGCAACATTGACAAAAATGTTTCAGACACCAAATTCTTTGAAAGGTATAAATATCAAGAGCAGGAATAAAATGATAGAAAGGAATGTTTAGGGCTGTAGCAAGGTATGGATACACTGAAGACTGGGACACATAAAAAAAGTCCAAATTAAATTTTGTGTTTTTAATTTATGAAACGTCTCCATTTTGAGCTGCTGCACATGGTGTTATTTACTCAATGAAAGCCATAGTAACAAAATAGGCATTCATAACAACACAACACAGAGTTGAAAAAATTCAGAAAATCAAGTATATCTACTAAGCAGTCAAAACTGCAGAAGATACAAAATACTTTCTGAATAGAAACACGACATTGTCAGTGGATACGTGAGGAATAGAAATATACACATAAGCCACGTAAACAAGGGAAATTTTTTGAGCTTCAATCTTCCAACCCACCAAGTTCAAAGCACTTACTGGAACTACTTCCCCACCATTTTGTGAACCAAATCACCCTGATCCATGAATCACAACTCCTCTGACTGCTGAGAACCTACCCAAATACTCTGCAGCCTGTGAAGTTCTGCATCCCCCTATGCTTTCATCTAGAGATCTATAGCAAGGCTCTCACATGTTGTTTAGATTGTAACCAGAGTGAAAACCTCCAAGAACTGTCAGAGGAATCCTCCCTTGCACCCCTCCAAATAAAGCCCAGTCCAGTTCTCCATCTCCAGCCGTAGTTCCTAACACAGGAGAGCAGGTCAGCCTGGCCACCACCAGCAACTTTCCCCTCTCACTGGGGATCTCAGAAGTTTGGGTTAAGTATCTTAAAAGTACTTGCTTGCTCACTCTGTCTTTACCACTTGCTTCCGCCCTACTGGCCATGAAGTTCTGCAAGCCCTAAATCCTTACTGTTCCAGAAGATGCTCTTTTGGATTTTCCTTGGCTTTAAATATCTCTTTCTACAGTGTGATAATTCTCCTGGGCCCTCTCTCCACTTTTTCTCCTCTAAGCAGTTCCAGTGCTGCCTACATGCCTTATACCTATTCCTTCCTTTCTGATTGGAATGGTTTAACCTCACAGGCAGCTCAGCCCCACATAGCCTCTCACTCTCTCCTAAATGGGATGGGGAAGAGAATTGGGGAGGTAAAAGTGTGACAGCTCATGGATTGAGATAAAGGCAGTTTACCTAGTAAAGCAAAAGCTGCATACACAAGAAAAGCAAAACAAGAAATTAATTTGTTGCTTCCCATCATGGTTTCTTGGGAAGACAAACGCCATTGCTCTGAACACTTCTCCCCTCATTTTTTCTGCAAAGCCGTTATTGCTGAGCATAACAACATAGGGTATGGGCCATCTCTTTGGGTCTGTTGGGGGCAGTTGTCTTGGCTGTGCCCTTTCCCTGCTCCTTGTTCAAGCCCAGCTCCTTATTGGCAGGGCAGCAGGAGGAGCTGACAAAGTCCTTGGCTCTGTGTGAGCACTGATCAGCAGCAAATGAAACATCAATGTGCTGTCATCATTATTCTCATCAAAAATCCAAAACACAGCATTAGACAAGCCTCTACGAATAAAATTAACTCTGTCCCATCCAAAACTAGGACACCATTTTAATAGTCTTTTTCCTCACTGCACTCTATCTTTTGCATTACTGAGTCCCGGCAGATTAGAGGAACTGCATTTCCTTGTTTAGGAGCTGTTTAATTTTCTCGAAGAAAAGCACTTGTTTAGTTTCTTGTAATCTTCTTCTGCATGTTTTCATTAAAAAAAAAAAAAAAAAAAAAAAAAAAAAAAAAAAA